GCCCACTCCCGGGCCCTCCGCGGCGGCGGGGGTGGAGCCTCCGCGACCCACCTGCCCGCACCCGCCTCTCTTCCGGTCTCAGGTGCGGGACGCCGTGGGCGCGCTCGCCTGCCCGAGGCACCTCTGCGGTCTTGGGGCCCGCGACGGCCGCCGCCCTCCTCCGTGCCTCTTCTCGCCTCCCAGTTTTCGCGCCCACTCTCTTCCTGGGCCCCGTGACTTTTACCCGAGAAACATCCCGAAATTGCCCTGCGGCTCCTTGCCCGCTGCGACTGTCCGGCTTGTGAGTTTCCTGTTCACGCGTCCCACGTTGTCCACTACGGGACAGCCCCTGGGAATCCGCTACGGCCTCCTCGCCCACCGTCTCCCAGCAGAGTGGTCCTGTTGGCCTCGCCGGCGCCGCCTCCTTCCCCTGTGCCTGGCCCCTCCTCCGGGCGCCACCAGTCCCCCAGTTCTCCCCTCTGCCCGCCCCTTAACCTCTCAGGCCCCCGTGGGGCTTCGGCCTCCCCAGCGCTCCCTCCTCGAGCTGCCTCCCCCTCCATTCGGCCCCACTGCGATCCCGCTCCTCTTGCCACCAGCTTCCGCTTCAGTCCCACCCCAAACGACTCAAAGTGTACTTCCTGAGCTGGAGCTCCTTGTCTTTTCCAGGGTCGGCTTACTTACTCAACAGATGCTTAGCGAGAGACCCAGCTACACGCCAGGCGCCGTCCTAGATGCCCAGAGCAGTGGACACCACAGACAGGATCCCGTGCCTTTGTCTAGCATTCTAGTCAGAGTAACAGGCCATCAAGAAAATACGACATGGCATGTTAGGAGGTGGCACGTTCTGCGGCAGAAAATAACGCAGAGCAGGCAGATGGGGAGGCGAGGCGGCAGCCATGAAGGTGCTTGGGGGACACTGGTGCAGGCAGAGGCACAGCCATGCGTGGGGCAGGGCCACCCTGGTGTGTTCAGGGCGGGGACCAGTGTGAGTAGAGGGGGTGAGAGAGAAGGAGGGGAGTCGCAGTCAGGTGATGGGCACAGGGGAGGAAATTGAGCAGGGCCCTGCGGGCTTCTGCAAGGACTTTGGTTTTTACTCTGAGATGGGGTGGGGTTGGAGCAGGGCAGTGACAAGGTCTCCCATTTAAAAATAATTCTCTGGCTCTTGTGTGGTGGGGACCAGATAGGAGGCCATTGCCATAATGCAGGCAAAGGATGATCCACTGCAGGATAGCAGAAGTGGTCAATTCTGAGTATATTCTAAAGGTAAAACTGGTGCTTGAAGAGGTAGCATGGAGGCTAGGCCATGCAACCAGACTACCTGGGTTCAAATCTCAGCTCTGCCACATCTCAGCCATTCCCCTCAGGCAAGTTGCTTCATTTCTCTATGCCTCAGCATCTACATCTGTAAAATAGGGACAGTAATAGCATGTGAGTTGACAAAATAAAATGTCTGGCCCATAGGATGCACTACATAAAATCCCAGCACTTTGGGAGCCCGGGGCAGGAGGATTGCTTGAGCCCAGGAATTCAAGACCAGCCTCAGCCATAGAACGAGATCTCGTCTTCTCTACTACTACAAAAAAAAAAAAATCAGCCAAGGGTGGTGGCATGTGCCTGTCATCCCAGCTACGGGGGGAGGCTGAGATGGAAGGATCACCTGAGCCCAGGTTGAGGATGTGGTGAGCCATAGTGGTGCCACTGTACTCCTGCCTGGGCAACAGGGTGAGACCCCCGACTCAAAAAATAATATAAAAATACATTATATTTTAAAAGTGAGCTAATTTAAGAAAAATACTAAGTAAATAATAGCATGGATGGTCCATAGACATGTGCAACTCATGGGGTAGAGCTGAAGTGACATGTTAGGAACAAGATCCTTTACCTTTCCTTTCCTCTTCTTCCTCTGACCCATCTCCAGACTGTAGCCAGAGTGACCTTTATAAAATACATATTTCATGTGAGTCTGTGACCCTCAATAAAGCCCAAGCTCCTGAACACGGTGTGTAGACGAGCAGCTCAGCCTCTGGCTGGCAATCCTGCCCATCTCATCCTGCTCTCCCAAAAAGCCCCCAGCCCCAGTTCCCTGCTCATTCCCTCCTTGCATGGCCGACTCCACTCAACTTCCAGTCTGGCTAGTACCCTCTGTTCCTCCAGGTGGCCTCTTGACCTTCTAGGCCAGGCGAATGTCCTGTGTGACCCACATCTGTTATGTGGGCTTTCCTGTTAGTGTCTGTCTCCACCACTCTTCCAGTGGACAGGGATTGTACTGCTTTCATTTTTATGTCCCCAGTGCCTGGTATAAGGAGTAACCCTCCCAAACCGGAATTATCTTTTGGAGGGCGGGTCCCTTGTAGAACAGGCTTCTCTGACAGGTAAGTGTTCTAAGAACCCATCAGCATCAATGTCCCAGCTAGTATTACATTCGGCTTTAGTGAATTTTTTTTTTTTTGGCGATTCAACACATTTGCCCATTTCATGATGGGTGATTTATGAACACATCTGCCCACCCTGCGCTGAGTGTTCAGCAGTTTTTGATTTAAAATGGCATGACCAGCCGGGCTCGGCGGCTCAACCTGTCATCCCGCGCCTTGGGAGGCTGAGGTGAGTGGATGGCCTGAGCCCGCGGGTTCGAGACCCGCCTAGACAACTTGATGAGACCTCATCTCTACAATAAATAAAAAATCAGCCAGGTGTGGTAGCGCGCGCCTGAAGTTCCAGCTACTCGGAAGGCTGAGGGGGAAGGATCGCCGGAGCCCAGCAGGTCGAGGCTGCGGTGGCCAGGAGTGGCCACTGCACTCCAGTCTGGGCGATGGAGTGAGACTCCAACTCAAAAAAACAAAAAACAAAAAAACAAACAAAAAATGGCATGACCAACCGGGCTCGGTGGCTCAGCCTGTAATCCCAGCACTCTGGGAGGCCGAGGTGAGTGGATTGCCTGAGCCCGCAGGTTCGCGACCAGTCTGGGCACCTTGGCAAGACCTCATCTCTACAATAAATCAAAAACTTGTCAGGCATGGTAGCGCGCCTGTAGTTCTGGCTACTTGGAAGGCTGAGGCAGAAGGATCACCAGAGCCCAGCAGATTGATGCTGGGGTAGCTGTGAGTGTGCCACTGCACTCCAGCCTGGGTGACAGAGTGAGAGACTCCAACTCAATAAAAAAAAAAAAAGGCATGACCCCTGTGCCCCACCCTCATTCACCTAATCTCACCCCAAGCAACTCTTCGCCCCATGAAAAAAGTCTTCAAAGGGAAACATGTTGCCAGTATGGAAGATGTGAAGCAATGGCAGAAGCACTAAAAGGCATCAAAATGGATGAATTCAAAAGCTGTTTTGAGAAGTGGAAAAAGCATCTCGATAGGTATATTGCATCAA